ATGACCTTTTGTAATCTAATCTCAGACAGAATAATATAGTACCTTTTCTTCTGCAATCTTTTCATTGAAACAGTCAAAAAGGTCACCTAGGTTTAAGGGGAACAGAGATAGACTCAACCTAATGTGAGCATTGTCATAGAATTTGCAAAATGTTTAAAATTTCACAAATGTTCTGTTACCATTCCTTTGAAGTAGTACCCCAATTATATGCTATTCATATCAAAATTTATATCTTCTGCCTACATATCAGCTTTTTTTCCATCATACTCTAGTTCCCAAGTCTCTTTTGTCTCTTTTTAAGGTCTAACTAAATTATCCATCCCCAAACTATTAATGAGTTATCAGTGTCAGGAGCAGCAAAAAAATAAAATAAAAAGGAATCTAAAGTACTTATTAGTTCCTGACCTTAAGGTACACACAGGTTAGTTAAGAGAAATTTTACAATATGAAAGATAATTATAGAATATAAGTTAACATAAAAGCATGTTCAAAAATATCTTGACCTAGTCACCAATATAAAAATTGATGATCCATTTCTTGAAATTCAAGTTGAAAATTAAATCCCTTTATTCACATTAAAGACATACATGGTTGAGAGACAGAAAATAAAAACATAATATTTAAAGAAGTCTTTGGAGAGAAATTACCAGTAAGTCACACATACTATCTCCTCCAAACCCCTCCTTGAGCCACACTTAAAAAAGTAGAAGGTAAAAATAATGTCTGGTAAGAATTTTAACAGACCAAACAGTGATTCTGATATATGTTACTGAAGAGGAACCATTCTTGATTCATGCTTGAGAAAGTTAAAGGTGAAACAGCAAAATGTTGTAGGTGCAAAATAATACCACTTGCCCTCAGGGTAGGTCAAAGTACAAGAATCTGATGCACTAGTTATAGATCAAGTAATGGAAACTCTGGTCTGCAATCATTTAAAATGGCATTTTGTCCAAAAAGATGACATTTCAAGGGATTAGCCATGTCTGCTGGTATATGTGTGTGTGTGTGTATATATATATATATATATATATATATATATATATATATATGTGTGAGGGTCAATTAGAAGATACATAAAAAAGATAGACTTGTCCATAAATGAGGAAGGGGTCTAGTGATAACACAGTTACAGAAATGTTCCCAAAGAAAATAAAAAAGATTAACAAGAGCGATGTATTTCATCTAGAAGGCATGAACTCATTCTTCAAATGTCCTGGTTCCCTCTTCATCCTGTCCTATTTGATCATGAAGACTGGAGAGAACTTGAATAACAGGTGTGGAAATGGGAATACTCGCTAGGAAATAATGAAGAACCACTTCTCTGATATTATGTTACAAGGTCCCTTAGGAGAAAGGGGAAGTATTTAACTTTAAGTGAGGCTCAGCATTTGATTATTTATATGGGGTGGGTTATTTAAATCTTAACAAACTTGGATTGTGTTTTATCTTGAAGTGACAAGGCCCATTTGATAACCATATTGATATAAAAAATGAAGAAGAAATCAGCCAATAACAAATAAGCAAGGAGCCTGCCAGAGGGGAATAAGTCTGTATAACATCTTTTGATAGCAACACCTTTTGTTTATTTGAAAAGGGTAGATATAAACATGTTATGACATTTAGTGTGGGCAGAGTTATTTACCCAGAGAGCACTGATCTCATGTAATTTAAAGAAAGAAAGAACTGTGGATAATATTTATATCATGGTCTTTCTAAATCACCGTATATGTCATGAGCATACCTCCTCCAGATTAAGCAAATATCAACATAAATAACTAGAACGGTAAACAGAAGAATCTTACGGGTGGGTGAGCACTTTAGCACTTTGGAGTTACCACTTAGTAATGGTTATCTTCTCCCATCAGCGATCTCAAGAACCAGAGAAATGAAGATGACAGCAGGGAGGAAGGGAGTTGTTAGTTATGCATACAGGAAACAAGACAGGTGTAAACAGAAAAGAGAGGGCAACCTAGTATTGCTGTAGGCCATATAAAACTCTATGCAGGCAGCTTCTACAATGACACTGAAAGATACCAAAACAGATCTGATGTCCTAAGGTCAGTTAAAGATCTGAAGTTGAGTCCATTTCTTTAGATGATACAAAAGATTGAATATATATAATTCTGCTATAGGGTCCTTTCTTAATAATTAACATACCTACTGAATAATGAACACATGTACAGACACTCACATTATAAAAAATGTTTCTAAAAGCTTATTTTTCCCTTATTTTACAAATGTTGTGGAAATGTTATATCTTGGTCACACAACAATTGGGGTCAGTGAATGTACTATCATGAAGGGCACCTCAGAGAATTACCTGTCAGTCCCAAAGTATCTAATCCCACCAAGTCAACATTATGTTAGTGAGATTAACATGAATAAATTTCAAAATAATAATATACATTTTTTGAAAAGTAAAGACTTTGGCTGATATTACTGAGCAGATTCTAGATCTCAGATCTTGACAGAGGGATTCTGTTTCTGTTCATATCTCAGCTTTGTTTTACTTTGTTCTCTGAGAATAGCAGTAAGGCACAAAACCAATGACATACTTTGGTTTATTTACACATCCCTAAACCAAACTGTCTGAGCAAGGGATAAAAGACTCCCATTTAATAGACCTGTTTCATGTGTCTTATTATTCCATCCCTCATTCCGGAATTAGGGGTTACCAAGGGATGGAAGCTAGGTCTCCACTCATTAATATACACAGAATGAACAGGATTATTCTATTTGAAGAGATATGGTATTCATATGAAAAAAATGCTCCTCATATTCCTAAATAGGCTAAACCCTGGGTTCCTCATCTTCATTATTTTTGCTCCTTGCAAATAATATAGAAATATACATGCTGAATTCATGTGCAAAGTCTACAACTATTTTATAGACTCAGTCCTATCAGTATATTTTTATTGAATTCATATAATTGAATACGAAAGTTGACTGATAATTCTTTGAATTTTGAGAATATTAAACAACTAAGGATGCCAAGTTTATTACTGCAGTTTAGAAACTCACAATTAAAAACTTTCAGTGACTAGTTTCCTATATAGATTTCCTTAAATCCTGTGGATATTTTAGGAAGGTTTTATGTTGGTTTTCTAGGACTGCTATAGCAAAGTAACACAAACTGTTTGCATAAGAACAAGAGAAATATATTGTCCATAATTCTGGAAGCCAAATGTCTGAAATCAAGTTGTCAGTGTGACTATGTTCCCTCTGAAGACTGCACGGAAGGACCAGTCCCTTGCTTATCTTTCTCATTCTCAAACAAATTTCTCAGCTTAAAGATGACCACCTTTTTCCTGTGGTTCCTCACCTTGTCTTCCCTCCGTCCAAATCTGCATGCCTAGATTATGACAGGTTTTCCTTTTACCCCCATTTTTCAGAAAACTAATCATTACTTGATTTATTTTCATTGGCAACTTACAAGTTTTTTGAATCTCAAAGAACTTAAATTGAGTCTAATTGACAACAATTTTGAATCAGACCAAGTCAGACAAAAGACTTCAAAATAAAATGGATAGACAAAAAACTAAAACTAATACTTACCTTATCCTCCATACCCCCCCATCCAATCACCGCCCCTTTATGTAAAATACTTCAGACAAATTTTATGACTTTCTAATAAGATAGTGAAGAATTTCAATATCTCAAAAAAGCTCCTAAGTTAAAACTGATTCTAAGTTGCATTACGTTTAATTTTTCCTACATGTTTAGTAACTAACACTTTGTATTACTTCTATAAATAACTATGACAGAGAATATCTGAATAGTTGAGGAAACATATAGTCACTCTCCAAAAGCTTCAAAGAAGAGTGATGTGTCTCAGTATAATAAATCCTTCTTTAATCAACAACAGAATTCATGTTGAACTCAAATATTTAAGCAATCTTGACAGAAACATCACCTATCAGAAATTAGAGCAATATCATGTCCTGATATAATTACATTTTCCTCTTAAATTTAAAACTGAAATTTTAAATTAGATCATGAGGAAGTAACAAGGATTTCTAATACCTTTGTTTCCTATAGCAAAGTTTTTAGTAATAAATATATAAAACTATAGAGATAGAATGTCAATATTGAGGCAACAGATCAAATGGAAAGCCAAAAATGTAAATACTTCATTTGAATAAATTTAATATAATATAATATATATTATTATAATAATATAATATATTTGAAATGCAAGAATTCCTTCTGATTTTACTACCATGAAGAAAATTGTCTGTCCTCATTAAGTAAAAATACGTAATTTCTTTCTCTAGACAAATGGAACAGCAGAATACAAATCTTTTCTATTGGTTGCTCCTATAAATTCTAGCAATTCAATTTTGCTTAAATATTACCTGTAGCAAACCATTAGTCTGGGTATTTGCTAACATATAAATTATTTTGTATAACTATATTAAATTTATTAGTATTCACATATAATCCTCCAATAGTTTTATTCTGTTTTTTTCTTTGTGTTTGATATGCATAATGTATAATTAATATTAAATCTAACTTGACAGTAATTAAATAACATGTAATAAATACATATAAACAAATGTCACTTTGAATTAGAGGTTTTAGTAATTATGGAAAATGTGAAATTATTTTGAAAATTCAAAAGAATATCATTAACAAGGTTTAAGTTTCTAAATAAAAGAAAAAAGCTCCCAAATCAAAATATTTGAGGATTTATGATGGCAAATGTCTTAAATTCTATTTTTCATTTGAAGTAAAATGCTGTCTGTCTGTAAATACAGTGATATGTGTGAAATTTTAAACTACTTTGAATAATAAATATTGAAAGGCTTGATTGCAATCATATCTCCAAATTTACTTTTCTTAGTTTTTCACATCACCGACCATTTAAGCCTATTTTTTTAAATCTTTGATATTGTCAAAAGCAAGTTCTTCCACTTTAGTAAACTCTAAATGCCTCAAACAAATAAAATCTCAACATAAAAAACTTGACTTATAATTGCAAAATAGTTTAGAGTACTTACCCATCCAAGAAGGATGTAACAGCAGCTGAGACGCTGTCAAGGAGAAAAATGCCAGAAGGATTAATAAATCATATTGCTATAAGGTGATGATGAGAATTATAAACAGCTATGTAAAAATTAGGTTGCTAGCAGCTGGATAGCTTCGTTCTTTTAGCCTTGGTAGTACAGTAGTGGACATTTATTTTCTGATATGCACTGGCAAGTAGCTAGCAGGCTTGGTGTATATATAAACATTACTTAACTATGCTATGATTGGCTTAGAGCCAGAAAATGTCCTCAGACATTACCATTTGCTATCAGAAACCCTAAATATTGCTGGAAATGATTGAACAGACAAAAAAAAAAAGCCAGAAGTCAAAGAAAGTTTGTAATAGAACAACTGAGAGACTAATAGGAATAAAATACAACACTTAATGAAATAAGAATTTTTAAGCAAATTATTGAAAACTAAAATTCATGTGGTTAATGAAAAGAGTGGTATAACACATTGTGAAAACATAAGGGAAAATAATGTCTAAGACATGAGCTTACTGAATATTATTTTTCATTTTATATTGTTTTGATATTTCTTCTAAATAAAACTAATCATCCTAATGTATTTTTACTGTCATGTACAAAAACAAATCGATTGCTTTACAATTGTGATTATGTATAACCTCATGTAAGATAATAATGTAATCATGAAGAATAAAAAGAGCAGAAAGAAACACAAAATAAAGTGAAACAAGAAAAAATAAAACCTCATGTAATGGTCAATTCTCTTGTAATCAACTGGACAAGCCTTTTGAGAAGGTTCAGTCATAACTCAGGGTGTATTACACATGCTTCCTAATTTAACAAGACTCAAAAAATTAATATAGTTTCTTAATAAGTAAATTTCACCAAAATAAAATTTAACTATATTTATAAGAATATAAATATAGAAAATATTTATAAAATAATATTTCCCAAAAAGGTCTGCAAGAAATAAGATGTTTTTAAAAGTTTCAAAAATGAGTAAGTTTTTTAATTTTAGCCTACTCAAATAATTCTACCTTTCATTCCTTAAATCGACAATTCTTATTCATCAGTACATATTTTAAACATAGTCAAGAATTAAGAAATATAAGATTGGTTAGAATTGTATCTCCTGGATTTAATAATTGTTAATATGTGGATTTACATGCTTCCAGTCTTTTCCCCCATGTTTTATTACAAAAGAAATAACTACATCAAAACCTCTGTTTCAAATACAACATATAAGAATATAAGGAATGAATATTCACTAGAATCCCAATCAAAAAATGACTAATACTGAGTTTTGTTACATATTATGTCAGATTATTTCCTATATAATTACCAATATGTTCTACCATTATGATCCAATAGAAATATATTTATTATTCTGTCTATAAACAGAATTAAAAAGCACTACTTTCTAACTCAACTTTTGTCTTAACACAGTATCTTTGGTATCTTTCAATATAAATTCAAACATATCCCATTTCTTAATGACTATACACTTGCAATAAATGAATAAAATGATTTGTATATGCCTTTTGATAATAGAATAATTCTATACTTAACAAGAACTGTCAATTATTAAGTTAGTTTTTATAGTTAAGACAAAATTAAATTGGTTTTGCAAGAAAACAAGGGAAAAGACCTTAAGGAGAATTTATGTCAGGTGCAATTTGCAATGATAGATATCATCATTAAGAAAATAAAATTGTGTAAGTAAAAAAGCCAAGGACTTACTCAGCAGAAGGCAGGTCTAACAGGTTTGATTCTGAATAGAATACAGCTGAAAAGTGAACATTAGGAGATTAATTTTTTAAGTATATTTTCCTATGTTGACGCTAAGAATTGCAAGAAGTCATTTGCTAAAATTGAGAGAACATTTGCAACAGAGGAGGCCTTCCAACATTGTTAACTTCTCATTTCAACTAATTTATTTTTGTCAAGTTTATTATGGAGGTAACCAAATGCTGTATTAAAAAATTTCTCTGTGTTAGGACTCAACAAGATGACATACATTTGAAGAATAGAAGTTTAATCTCTTAAGAACATCTTCATTTCCATCTATCTAAAATTCTTGAAATCATTCCCCAAAAGGGTAATTGAGTATATCAGTCTTAGGTGTTGCCTTTTTCCCTTTTGTATTTAAAATATTCATTCTATATAAACTTCAAAAACTATTGGGCTATTATTTTTCCTTCTGGTAACTTTAGAAATGGCAAGCTTTTGCTGCTCAACCAAAATTTAAGAAAATAAATTACCTCTCAATTTTTTTGAGATTAATCATTGGTATCTTTTTTTTGATGTTGTTGTTGTTGTTAAATCTTGGGTGATTGAAAAATAAATCACATGTGCCATAAATATCCTTTGAACCACAAGCATTGCAAATTGACATTACAGTGCGGATTTTTCATCTTGACAGCTTATCATAGAAGCCAAGTTGCCCCAGATTTTCTTTAAAGAAGAATAGGACTAATATGATCAAATGCAATGAATAAAACAAAGTACACTTTAACTGCTATAAAGAAATAAACTTGTGGATCAAATTCCATATGAGATTAATTTCAATTGCTAGTAGGTAGATTGAAATTTTCAATCATACAAATTAGCAGTAGTTTTGCTCCTTTAAAAGTGCTAATGTAAAGAGAATTTAATAAAACAATTGCATCAACTTGTTCCCATAATACATCCCCACACACACACAAAGGAAATCATATACAAGTTTTCCCTACTATCCCAAAGTGCATTGTTCCCACGAAAGCCGAAACGGTGTAAATCAAAGCAACTGCTTTTAATTTATAAGGAAAATTTTTTGAGCATTCAAAAACTGAAAAGTAATCTGCCAAATTATATCAATTAATACATGAACTATAAGATTAACATATAGTAAAACATGAATGCTATAATTATACAGTCTATAGAAAATAAGTCCCAGGCAAGAATTTGGAGGGGTGTAAGTTCAGGAAAGGACACGGTGCAGATTTTCTGATCCAGCAGACCGGGTAAAGGAGAAGTCAGAGTCCTCAGTGGTTTTGCAGGTTTTTATTGAGATTACCAGGTACACGGCAGGCAGGAGCGCTGGGGGTCCGGGAGGCTGGCAGGCCTCCCAGCCCCCAGCAAGTCTTCACTCTATCTGGGCTCTCCAGCCTTCTCTCAGCTTCTGCTCTCTTGCTTCTCTCTAGGCTTCTCTTCGGCTTCTCTTTCGGGTTCTCCTGGCTTCCCCGTGATGTCGCCCTTGAAAGCCCAGTCGAATCCCATCTACCTATGCCCACACCCTACTCCAGGTGCCCACCATCAGGCATGCATTCAGGATTGCAGGGTTCCGTCATCTATCCTAATGGCGGAAAAATATATTTTCTGATATAAAAATATCAGAAAAGCCTGATATTTTTCCTTACCCTACAAGGAGCCAATCTCACTGTTTGGGCTATAAGTTACTTCTAGACTGGCTGTTGAGAAACAACTGTCAATGCTATTTCACTTTTTGCCTTTTAGCACAAGCATGAAATCTTCTTCGTATTTTGCCTATGTAGGATAAGGTAAAAAGTATCAGGCTTTTCTGCCTTCCTGCCATTAGGATAGATGACAAAACCCTGTGGTCCCGAATGCATGCCTGATGATGGGCATCTGGAATAGGGTGTGGGCATAGGTACATGGGACTCACCTGGGCTGAGACTGGGCTTTTAGGGGCAGCGTTGCGGGGATGCCAGCAGAAGCAGAGACTAAGCAGAAAAGAAGCAGAAGCACCATGAGAACCAGGCCACCAGAGAACGCCAGAGAGCCCAGATAGAGTGAGGACCAGATGGTGCCAGCCCCCCGGCACCCATGCCTACTGTGTACCTGGTAAATACCTATAAAAAGCCTGCAAAAGCCACTGAGAGCTCCAGGACTCCTCCTTTACCTGGTCTGCAGGATCAGAAAACCTGCTCTGTGGTCTTCTTGCCCCTACAATTGGTTTAAGTCGGCAAGATGATGCATGCAGACAGGTATGGAGCCCTCCAAAGACCTGGAGGGACTGAGGAGTAACAGACTGTGTTTGCCTGTGACAACGCTGGAGGCGTCATGGCGGCACAGGAGATGGACAAGGTCCGGGAGCTACAGGACTAGACCTCGTGTGAAGGAGAGAGCCCGAGAGGTCCAGCCAAAGACCCCTCAGGCAGCAGAATCATTGGGGAAAGAAAGGGTCCTGATTCGGAGCTTGCCAGTGCTAATGCAGGGAGAGGCCTAATGGACTTGGACTAATGGAATTGGACTGACAATCCCGTCAGAAGGCGGAGGACCTTGCAGGTTGATATGTTTTGGGGCCCTGGGGGAGAATCGTTTGTAAACCCCAGGAGATGGGAATCTGGGGGTGGCCATTGGGCCTTGATGGCCAAAAGCAGCCTGTGTATGCCCAGTAGCTAGGCAGAGGAGAAAAGCCAACTGAGAAGGTAAAAGCTGGTACTGATGCTAAGTTTGGGAAGCCCTGAGTGGCTGTTAAGCACTAAGTAAGCTGGGGAAGGCCAGCGAGTCTGGTAAAATCACCTGTGGGTGATGCCCTGCTCGTTGTCGAGTGAGGGTAAGGAGCTCAGGAACCCGCCCTTGGGAGAAGGGTGGGGAATGTGGCTTGGGGTGGAGCCTAAGCTGAAGAGGGGACCCGAGAGAGGCCACATGTGGAGTTTGGATCCCCGACCCATGTGCTTATGCAGTGGGTTGGCCTGAGTGCAGGGGTCTGCGTGTCGCATTGGTGGCTATGAAGGCCAAGTGTTGGAGCAACTGCAGACAGAAACCCTGAGGGTTGGAGATTACCCCAACAGTATAGAATTGCCAATTCCAGAGTGAGTGCATCCTGAGGCTGGATGTGGTGTGGCTTGTAGCCGAGACTACAGCCAGAGAAGGCCAGGAAGCCTGACGGCTCCTGGTGTATTACGGCCGATGCCGTGAGTGGTTCCCCTCCTTCATATGAGCTGTGCCTTCGGCAGCAGAAGTGGTGGATCATCTTCTGGTGCCAATAATTGTCTTTTGCCACTAGGTTGGTGCCCTGCCTGGACTTATTTGTGTTCTGTTATATTTTGTTGTTATATTGGGATGTATTTGCTTTTGTGGGCCATGGCTGCATTGTCTGTTTGCTAAGAAACAAAATTATACATATGTAGATAGTATGGCAGAAAACCCTGAGTGGGTGGATTGTAGGGTAAGGTAAAAAGTATCAGGCTTTTCTGCCCTCCCACCATCAGGATAGATGATGGATCCTTGTGGTCCTGAATGCATGCCTGATGGCGGGCACCTGGAGTAGGGTGTGGGCATATGTAAATGGGATTCACCTGGGCTGAGACTGGGCTTTTAGAGGCAGCGCCATGGGGATGCCAGCAGAAGCAGAGACGAAGCAGAAGCAGAGAAGCAGCAGAAGCAGCAGAAGCACGAGAACAAGGCCACCAGAGAACGCCAGAGAGCCCAGATAGTGAGGATTTGCTGGGGGCTGGGAGGCCTGCCAGCCTCCCAGCACCCCTGCCTACCATGTACCTGGTAAATCCCAATAAAAAGCCTGCAAAAACCACTGAGGGCTCCAGGACTCTCTCTCCTCCTTTATCCCAGTCTTCATGGGATCATAGAAAACCTGCTCAGTGGCCATCCCTGCCCCTACAGCCTGTTAGCAAACAGAGATGCTTCTGTCAATACAAAATCTCAAAGATATAGTCTATGCTTTTTTGGCTTGTTATATAGTAGTAAGATAAAGATAATCAGTCGAAATATATTCTAAAATGATTAGTCTAAGGAATAATGTGTCACCATGAGAATATGCTATATACTGCCATAAAAAGGGAAGATGGAAAATTTTGTTATGCTATAAATATATAGCATATTAACTGTGTATGTATAATCTGTGTATATATATATGGAGTTAGAGAGTCAGGGAACTCCTACTGTTGCAGAAGCAAACTTCAGTAAAATATTTTGCTTTGAGAGTGGGAATTAGACAATGTATATGTCATGGTCAGAAAAATGTGTTAGGGACAGAGAACAACTCAGAATAAATGTAGGGAAAGTGAGGCAGATGTAAGATTAGGGATTATCATTATAAATCACCTTTTTAAAAGTATTTTTATCAGATATTTAATAACTTATGTTATAGGTACACATAGCATGTTCATCTTATTTAATCCTTCATAGCAGTCCTATAAAATAGTTTTTAGTAATTTCACTCTATGTATGAGAAAACTGAGGCACAGTAATTTGCTTTTGGTGCACTAGTTAATATGAGTGCCAGAGTCAGAAGTGAACTGAGATGATTTGCCTCCAGTGTCTAGGTTTCTTCTGGATAGATGGTCATAATTACCCATTTGTATAGAATTTTTAGAATTCATAAATAATTTTCATGTTTGTGATCTTATTTCCCCCTAATAATTATCTACAGCCTGTGGGACAGTTGCTATTTTGAAACACTGATACTAAAATGTCAGATTTTATAGCAATTTTAAGAGAAATTTGGTCCTGAGTTTCTGATAAGATCATCTAAACCTTCTACTGCAACTGCGTCTCCCTTGCCTTCTGCCTAATAAGGTTGTTTTGTATTTTTAAAATTGCTCTACAGGTACTCACCCCCCCCCAAAAAAAAAACACCCAAATAAACTTGTTGCATGCAAATGTACATTCAGTGTCTGTTTCAAGGGACCCTGAACTGAAACAATAGTTTCAATATTAAACCATTCTCTTGAGTCTTTTGTCAAATCTTAGTTTAAAAATCACATACTATTTTCATTTATTCATGTAACCTACAAAGTATTTTTATTTTATGTATCCAATTTT